CCCAGGGGCCGGATGCGGCCCGCGAAGTGATTTCATGTGGCCCGTGAAGCCATCCTGAAAACAGTGAGGGAACGGCCCTCACTGCCTTGGCCCTGGCCCAGGCCGGCCGGGAGCCAATGTACAATTTTGTGGTGGCCATCTATGCTGAAATGCATTCAGTCTTAGCTCCACAAGGCCGTCCAGAAACAGCGAGGAACCAACCCCTGCCGCGTTGGCCCCGCCCCCTGGGTGCATGCTGGGGAGGTGTCACCCTTTGTGAGGAATGAAGAAATGGACCATGCCTTGGTCCTTGCCCCGGTCCCACCCCCTTCTGCCAGAGACCCTCAGATCTGTCCCACTCCTGCCCAGGCCCCCACAGGCACTCTTGACGCGAACAATGTAGAGCTGGCCATGCCCACCAGTAGGCCACACCCACTCCATCCACGCCCACCCTGGCCACACCCACACAGCCCCCCAAGGGCAACCGCAATGCTGATGCGGCGCTCAATGAAATTGAGTTTGACACCCTGATATAGAGGTTATAGGAAGATAACTGGACATATTAACGCCGGAAGTCTTTTCTCAATACTACATAAACTATAATAAAAAGCTGTCTGAAAAATAATAACATTACATAAATTATAATTTCACCGTTAAAAAGCTTACTGTGGATTTTTTATTTACTGGATATATTTCTGAGTGACCTTTTAAGTGCACGTAGCAGTTTGCACATCTCCCTCCCTCCTTCTCTCCGATTCATTCATACACACCCAATTGGAAAAAGCTGTAATGGAAGGATAGAGAACAGCCTAACATCTGTTCTGAATTAATAGAAGCATTATATCAGGTCTTCTTTTCTCAGTCTGCAGACTTTTTCCTCAGAATTAGTGGAGAAATTTATGCAATTATAATTGCACAACTTTTGGGAGTCTTCAATATTGTCTTAATATATTTGTCATCAGCTTTAGACCTATAGAAAGTAAATAAATAAATATTTTCTTCTTAGCCTTCGAGGATATTTCACAAAATATGACTGTTCCAGTGGTGATATCAACCCTATTGGTGGAATTAGCAAAACAGATTTGAAATGCTATATGCAATATTGCATTGAGAATTTTCAGCTAACATCTCTTAAAAGGTAAGTAGAGAACTAATGAAACTTATTCCAGTCTGTTCCAGTATAGAATGATCTGGAATCTTGGTGCTTTTTTTCCCCTTTGGTTTTCCTAGGATTACTGAATGCTTCAAAATTTGATCTTAACTGGGACTTGATTGAATTGCAACTACATTCTGAACATCAATGAGTAATAGTTACTTTAAAGTATGATTATATCAAGTACAGTTTTGCTGGCTAATAAGAAAGATTTTTCATACTGACTTTCTTAACATGTATTTTATTAATACAAAGCAGTTGTATGTAATAGTTTTGCCCCTCTAGTCAGGTTGTTTATTTCCTGATACAGCTATGCAGGCCATTTTCTTACTTGCCTATAAGTAGTACAATACAAGTTAATCTGGAGGTACATTTCAGATAATTGTCTTGCTGAAATATCTAGCCTCTTCTCAGCTTCATGTTCTTTACTGACTGGGATATGAGCTTCTGGAATATGTTGATATTTAACAAAATCCATTCTTAGTAATAATAACTACTTTATTGTCACTTTGAGTGTACACCAATCGGCATACATCTAAATGAAATTTCGTTACATACAGCTCTCAGAGGGTCACCATCTCCGATATAGACTCCTTGTTCGTGGCCAGCTCAAGTTTCAGTATGTCTATTTTAGTCTCTAGGGAAACAGGACAGATGGAAACGGAGCTCCATGTGGATTAGCCCTCAAATTAGCTTGTATTCCTGCCTCTTCTTTTTCTGATCCTGTCTCTTCCACCTTTTCCTTAAAGGGGCCTCGCTCCTTTTTGCCCCTGGAGCACAATGCCTTCCACCGCCTCTAAGTCCTTCAATTCTTCCTACTACTCACACAATGCCACTATTTTCATACAACTCCAAATTATCATAGAACTACCCCCAGGCATCATGTTTGGAAAGATGATCTTTTCTTGAAACGTTTCACATTTTTTTTCCTTTAAAAGTATATTCTGTAATTATGTCTGAATAGTTTCAGTTCATGAAATATCAATTCGTAGTAGTTTGCTCAAAATAATTTAGGCTTATTAGTGTTTTCTTTTGCATACTTTAAAATTTCGTGATGAAGTCAGAAAAGAGTCTCCCATTAAAATTATTGTATAAGGAGTCATGTGCAATGGACAAATGCTGAATATTAGCTAAACTTTTTTAGTCTTTGCAGGGATTTGTGAATTTTCTTGACATATCTGACAAGTTTGGGGCAACCAGCGAAGGACAAAAAAAATATATGAATCTGATAATAAGTTGGATATTTCAGCAAAACCAACAGTCCAGAATATTGCCTTCCAATCCACCATGAAGTATTTTAAAGTAAGAAGGATAAAGATTTTAGAATGGTATTCAGAATCCTCAAACTTTTATCTTGCTAAAGATCAGCTTCTACGTACTTAGGGATTCAGTGAAATGAACAAAGTTTGACCCAAAGTGCCCAAATTTGTGCATTCAACTGTAAGAAGTCAGGCAATGTTGTGCTTGTACTTGAATAGAAATGTAGCCTGACGCAGACAAAAGATGGTTAATAATTGCTTTGGTCCAGATGGAACGTGTTCATGGTAATAATAATCTATTACTATAGATTAATTTTATTCATTTCATTTTACCTATACACAGTATTATATCAGCACCCCCAACAGCAGAGTTGGAGCCACTGCAGAACGGAAATGTTACTCAAATGGATGAGGTAAAAGTGCAGTGACTACTACCGTCTTGTAAGCCCGTACTTTTAATTCGTAGGTTGTACATGCAGTCTTTTAATCTTCATCAAAATTCAAGAAAGTCTGACTTTTGTGATTTAGGCATCATATGGAACTCAGTATTCATTAGCCAACTATTTTTTTTTCCTGTTAAGATATTTCAGCTGCAGACTTGCATGTCTTTTGTAATGATACATGTAGCCCTCGACTTATGACTTGATGGAGCCCCCAAATTTCTATTGTTAAGTGAGACATTTGTTAAGTGAGTTTTACCTCATTCTACGACCTTTCTTGCCACAAGTTGTTAAGTGAATCTGGCTTCCCCATTGACTTAGCTTGTCAGAACATTATAAAAGAGGAATCACATGACTCCGGGGCATGCAGCCATCATAACTATGATTCAGTTGCAAAGCATCTGAATTTTGATCACTTGACCAATGCTCAATGGTCATGTGAAAAACGGTCAAAAGTCACTTTTTTCAGTGCTATTGTAATTTCGAACAGTCACTAAAAGAACTGCTGTAAGTCGAAGACTATCTGTATAAGTTACAATGGGCATATGAAGGATCTTGAAGAATTTAGAATCCAGATTGCCACAGGTTTATCAGAGCTTCACCATTCCTAATTAGCCAGGTACTTATTAGTAATGCCCCATTTCACAAAAAATAAGAAATTTTACTGATAGTAGTTCGAAATCTGCAGTCCCCAGATCACTCCAAAACTGCTTCTGAATTATAATCAATGACAGTAGGACAGAGTTAATGGGGTTTAATATAATGAAGTGATATAACTGTTGTATTGTATTTTAAGTTAAGTATTATTTTTCCCCAAGTTCAGAGAAATCTAGATTAACTATAGTTCCGATTCAGTGTTGGCTGGCTCATGGAAGAATGTATGATTCTTATATTCATTTTGTTTCTTTTTTTTCCTTTTCTTTTTGTGCTGTATATGAAATGTTAGGTAGACATGGGTATGACATATGCTGAACTCTCAGTCTATGGTAAACTAAGGAAGATAGCTAAGGCTGGACCTTATACCATGTTCTGTAAAGTGGTCACAATGTGGAAAGCGATATGTTCTCCAAGAGAGGTAAACAAGAAAATTTCCCTGATGCCTTTACATAAGCAGCACTAAGCCACGTGTACTTATACATCGCATCTACATGGAGGGAAGTGTGTAGTGGGGTGCCCCAGGGCTCTGTTCTGGGCCCAGTGCTCTTCAACATCTTCATCAATGATTTGGACGAGGGGATAGATGGGGAACTCATCAAATTTGCAGACGACACCAAGCTGGCAGGAATAGCCAACACTCCAGAAGACAGGCTTAAGATACAGGAGGACCTGGACAGACTTGAACACTGGGCGCTATCTAACAAAATGAAATTCAATGGTGAAAAAAGTAAGGTTCTACATTTAGGCAAGAAAACCCAAATGTACAGGTATAATATAGGGGGTACCTTGCTCAATAGTAGTAACTGTGAGAGGGATCTCGGAGTCCTAGTGGACAATCACTTAAATATGAGCCAGCAGTGTGCTGCAGCTGCCAAAAAAGCCAACACAGTGCTGGGCTGCATTAACAGAGGGATAGAATCAAGATCACGTGAAGATTAATAACACTTTACAATGCCTTAGTAAGGCCACACTTGGAATACTGCATCCAGTTTTGGTCACCACGATGTAAAAAAGATGCTGAGACTCTAAAAAGAGTACAGAGAAGAGCAACAAAGATGATTAGGGGACTGGAGGCTAAAACATATAAGGAATGGTTGCTGGAATTGGGTATGTCTAGTTTAACGAAGAGAAGGAAGGACGAGGGGTGACATGATAGCAGTGTTCCAATATCTCAGGGGCTGCCACAAAGAAGAGGGAGTCAAGCTATTCTCCAAGGCGCCTGAAGGCAGGACGAGAAGCAATGGGTGGAAACTGATCAAGGAGAGAAGCAACTTAGAACTAAGGAGAAACTTCCTGACAGAACAATTAACCAGTGGAACAACCTGCCTCCAGAAGCGGTGAATGCTCCAACACTGGAAGTTTTTAAGAAGAGACTGTACAGCCATTTGTCTGAAATGGTGTAGGGTTCCTGCCTGAGCAGGGGGTTGGACTCGATGACCTCCAAGGTCCCTTCCAACTTTATTATTATTATTATTATTATTATTATTATTATTATTA